ACAACGATCCCGGATGATGCCTTGATATTCGATTCTGTAAAATACAATCTACGATAACTATTGACAAAAAACTATTTTATTTTTTAAAGTTTATGGATGATTGGTAAGGCAAAGGGACATAATATTATTTTACATAAATAAACTTTAATTTGGGCAATGTATTATTTCCCTTCCCTCCCACAACAGACGTCCGTGAGCAATAGAGATGTATAGTAACTATTTTAGATGTTGTCTTGATCAAACACAACTTTGGTTCCATGAATTTGATAATACAAATAAATTTACTCCGGCAGTATTTCTATATCAGTGGAAACTTTACGCTATTAATAAGATGGCATACAAATACCTAATGGACATGTACAACTGGAAGAAAAGATGAACTAGTAATAAAACATAATGCCAGATTTTAAAAAAAAACATAATGCTTGGCTAATTATTTTGAGATTTCAACAAAAAAAAAAAAAAAAAAAATATTCAGTCATGACTAAATACCTAAAGGACATGTAAAACTGGAAGAAAAAATGAACTAGTAAAAAAACAAAAGGCCAAATTTTAAAAAAAAACATAATGCTTGGCTAATTATTTTGAGATTTCAAAAAAAAAAAAAAAAAAAAAATATTCAGTCATGACGTCAGAGCCACCCCACTTGCAGCCATGACGTCAGAGCTACCTTCTGCTGACATAAAGATCTATTGTTAAATGTCTCCTTTTTATAAAAAATTCCTTTAAACCAACTTCGCTTTTGTTCGTGCGTTTCTGGCTGGGTAGCAAAATCTTCGGACGTCTAATTGACCCACTTCCCGTCACACTATCGAGCTGAATCTTGGCATAGAGACTCGTTGCCGATGACAACATTTTTTTTTTCTTCAAATTTTCAGCCTCACTTCCGAACATCTCCGAAATAAGTTGGTGGGGTTTTTTTTCAGGGTGAAGATGAAGAAAATATGATGACATTGATTTTAAGGCGGACAAAAATTCCGATAACTCCGATAAATCAGATTCTCTTTTTTTTTTTTCTTTTAAATATCGCAAGCGCGTTTGGTGCCGAGCATTTTCTTTTGTTTCTCCGAAATAGTTCGTGAAATAAATGTGCGGGTGTGTCATTAAAAGATTAAAAAGTTCAGGGTGGGTTTAAAAAAAAAAATGCGTAAGGGATCATTGGGGAGACGGAGCAAAAAGTGGAATGTTTATACAGTGGGGTCACTTGAATGCCTGTTTTGACAAATTACAGACAGACAGACCCCCCCTCCCACCCCCAACCCCCAATCGCTCGATATTACATTTTAAAAGGGATTCATGGGGAAAACTTTGTTTTTTTGTGGGGGGAGTTAGTTATTTTTTTTATTAATTGATTTGTTTTAATTTTGTTGTTGTTGGTGAATTTGATGTTTTCAAATCAAACAACCGAAATCAGGGTTTTAAAAAAAAGGAAATTGCTTGTAAGAATTTTTTTTTTCCATTGCTGAACATTTTTAATGCTCAGAAATTTTCAGATCAGAATATTATTCAATGTGTTATAAACTTAAATAATAAATAATTTCATAGACAACTCGAAAGAGAAAAGGGGGGGGGGGTAATGTTCAGCCACGAGGCGCTGCATATTAAGTTATTTTTAAAATATACGTGATATGGTTTATGTTTTATGAGTATATTTATGTTTTATGTTTAAATTTATGTTTAATGTTTATATTTATGTTTTATGCTTATATTTATGTTTTATGAGTATATTTATGTTTTATGTTTATATTTATGTTTTATATGCATAATTAAAATTTATGTTTATATTTAATTTATGTTTTATTTGTATATTTATATTTTCTGTTTATATTTATGTTTATGTATATATGTATGTTTTATGTGAATATTTATGTTTTATGTGTATATTTATGTTTTATGTGTAAACTTATGCTTTACGTTTATATTTATATTTTATGTTTATATTTATGTTTTATGTGTATAATTTATTTTTATAATGTCTTTTTCGTGTTCGAGGGGTCGGCACAGTCGTCCAACGCCCCCCGGGTGCCACTTACGTCAGCTACTTCCTCCTTGTGTTTAGAAGAGATATTTACAAAGGTAACTTTTCAAGGCTAAAGCAACCCCCAAATGTTTACAGGACGTCGTGACCTCCAAGATATCCAACAACATCATTGGAAATTGCGCCTGTCGCCTGACGGTTGTCTAAATATTAGGGCTTTACCGCAAACGATACGTCTTTATTGACTTGAACCCTATGGCGGGGCAAAAGGCTCAAACCTTACCTGCAAGGTTCCCAGATGCATTCATATCATAAGTTATCAAAACGAAACTGAGTCGTCCCCCCCCCCCCCACACCACATACACCCTTAAAAACTTGTTAGTATCCCTTCATAAAGACGGCGCATTTTATTTAATTTTTAAAAGATCTGAACCCACTTCCCCTGGTAAAATAGATCTTTGTTACAGGGGACTGACCAAACCTTTCTTACGTTTAGTCAAATGGCTTGTTATTCTGATAGACTAAAGTTCAACGCTTTGTCCATAAGACTTGTTCTTTGGCCCCTCAGTGAACTACTTTGATCATAGCCAGAGTGGGTAAATATTATTGCCACCGGAGTCTATTTACGAGTGATCACACTCCGATTAAAATAGTGTACAGCTTATTGGCGTACGGAAGTAGGGGTGGGGGCGCCACGTTTTCACTTTTAGGGGGGGGGATTCGGGGGGGGGGCGTTTGCATTTTCTTTCCACAACATATACTTAAAATAGCTTATTTATCTATGTGTGTTATGTATGCATTTTAGTTAATGGCGTCAAAAGTCAAGGACAGCCCCCCCGGGTCTCACACATTCAAGCTGCTCCCCTGACTGTCGTGGTTATCAAATTATTTATTACCGTTTTTAAATCACATAGTAATCCTTTCCAGCACACAATAAATGTGTTCTATCAATTACAAGAGTTCCGTTCGTTTACACCGGAGTCCTAAAAGTCTGTTTTTGTAGTTTTTGTTGTTGTTGTTTGTTTTTTTTTTGTTTTTTTGTTTTTTTTGTATTCCATATCGCAGACCTCTCGTGCACTGTTGTTATTCAGCTGTTCACCAAGCGTACCAAACCAGGCCCGACTTAAGTCAATTTTATCATTTCCCGTGGCGTCTTATCGAGGGCTGTCCCGTGACTGCAGCAACTCCCTGGCTGTGCTGATCTCGGTTTCATGACGTCACCAAAAAAAAAAAACAACAAAAAAAAAACAAACAGCCGGAAACCCCATCAAAAAAAAAAAGCGGTAGGACAACCCACCCTTTCCTAACCCGCAGGCTACGCTTCAGACCCAGGGCATGCCTGCAATCCCGGTCTAATATGAAAAAAAAAACCCACTTAATGACGCCATGAGCCAAAATCTAAGTCGTTATGACACAATGGCATTCCTTACAAAATACATAATTTCTTTTTCAATAGTTAACTATCCGGTTCTTGTTCTATCAAACAGTTTGAGATCCGCTGTTTAAATACAAAGGAAATACTAAGGCCCCATTTCCCAGAAAACTATTTCGGTGGATTTTTTTAGGAAAACGCCCTGAGCTGAGAGGATCATCGGTCACCCAGCAGATCATCTGCCACCGAGAAGATCATCTGTCACCGAGCAGATCATCTGTCACCGAGCAGATCATCTGTCACCGAGCAGATCATCTGTCACCGAGCAGATCATCTTTCACCGAGCAGATCATCTGTCACCGAGAAGATCATCTGTCACCGAGAAGATCATCTGTCACCGAGCAGAAGTAAACTTTAGAAACGTGTTTTTTTTTTCCCACATCAACTTTGAACGGTGTCTATTCCCTGTGTTAATGGTGTCACATTCCTAAGCTGAATAGGTTTCTTATTAAAATCGTAGGTCCTACAATATACTACACGTTGCGCTTAATAAATACTATCTGCAGGTTTACTATGTACTTTCCGTAGGTTTACTATATACCACCAATACAGCTTACTATATACTAACCGTGGGTTTACCTATAAACTTTCAATGATCCTGATTCCCAGAACAAATGCATTCATAGAATAGCCGCCACCCCCACCCCCAATCCACCGACCCGCCCCATCTCGTTTGTTTGTTGGATTCACGTCTTACACAGTATGCGCTTACAAAAGTCTGCAGTCTGTTGTGTATTATTGGTGTTGTCTCAATTGTGATGTTTCTTTCTTTTTGTCTGTTATTGTTGTTGTTGTTGTTCATGTTGGGAAGACAATCTGCAACCACGTTCACTCTAAGTCTCACACTTTTAAGTTCAGCTTTGAGGATACACGTGTTTCATGGTCTCTGGGGGTTTTGGGGGTGGGGGGGGAGAGAGAGAGNGTGCACATCTCAGCACAGGTTCAGCGATGATCTGAAAATATATGGGTGTCTCCGTTGTTATCTGATTATGACAGAGCCGTCAACAAACAGATAGCAACCAAAAAAAAAAAACACACCAAAAAAAACCCACAAAAACACGGGTATGTTGAGTGTTCGGATAGATTCAAGTCTGTTTTTTTTGGTGACTTACGTCAGCACAGGAAATAACTAAGAGCTCCGGGCCTTGGCTTTAAATCATGGCCTTAGATCGAATATTGATCCATTTTTTCTCAAAACAGACGCCGCGTGGCCGTAACCTTACAACGAGCTGCCACCATGCAGCACCGTTTTGAAGGTTAATTTGTAACCATGAGAAGAAATTAAATAACTGCTAAGAAAAAAATAATTTAAAAAAAAGTCAAAATACGAATGTGACGCATGCAGAAATAATTCGAAGAAAAAAATCATTTGTTGCTCATGCATTACAACTGTTACATGTTTTCTATCACGATCTTTTTTTAAAAACGCACAACTATTGCTCAAGGCACCGCAACTTCCTTATGACGCCCCCCCCCCTTTTTTTTTGGCCACTTCCACCAACCCCAACCCCACCCCTGTCGTCAGCACCTACAATTTTAATAGAGTCATGGATCTTTTCATTTATTATTATTTTTTTTTTTTATTTTAACCGTGTTTCTATTGTTCGGCAATTTCATTTTATTTAATAAATAAATCAGATGATATGCAGAGAGCCGTTCGCTAATTTCCCTGTACTAATTTGCCTGTACTGGAGATGTTTATGAGTTAAGGCCCAGTGAACTAATGGAGGGCGACCCACGGAGTTTAGTTTTGATTTCAGTTTTGGGCCAGCGCAGCGTAAGAAAACTAGTACACATAACACAGAGACAGATTTAGCAACACGGCCCCCGAGGTTTTAACACTGTAGCTGAAGCGGTCGTGGCAGTGGTAAGTTTATCAATATTAACTAAGCACTGTGTCAATGGAGAAAAAAAACAACACATTAACATGTGCAATTAGAACCATGTGCCTTTATTTAATTATTTTTTTTAAACATTGTACTCGGTGTTTCTGTTGTGTGTGCATGTATAGAATGTGCATAATTTGTGTACATATATAATAATATGTGGTCAAATTGGATGCTTTTGTATGGCGCAGTAGTTAACTATAAAATATAGTGTTGTTGTTTTTTGTATGGGACAATGCAGAAGTGAGATATTTTTAAACAGTGGCATAGCAAGAGCTGCCAGTAGTGGCGTAGGACTGGTAAAGGTTAGGTTGTGATCCACCCCGGGGGGTGTGCACTTTTTAAACTGTATATGGAGGGATGTTGAGTTCATCGAGTGCATGGGGAACCAGTGGTTCTTAAAGTGTCGCGGGGAACCATGGCTTGCTCACAGTGGCGCCCGTGATACATCACACAGTTTTAAATACTGAGTTAAACACGTTCGATTGTTTTGTTTTTTTTTCTTTGCATCCGTCCGTCACAATGTGACGATGGCGTAGACTTCGCAAGACGAAATGCACGAGGCCTGGGATTAGAGATAGTCTGAATTTCGGCTTCGGCTTTGGTTTCTGCGCCGTAAGTTGCAATTTGATCACTTTAGGCCTAGTTTCAGTTTCGGCCAGAGTTTGAGACTTTCGGCCATGTGGCCGAAAGTGATTGAGGTTTCGGTCATCTTCCAGAAGTCAGTCGGTATGGTCTGTCAGTCTGTCTCTAGGCCGGCAATCCGATATTTCTTATCGATCGACGTCTGTCTGTCATCGTTATTTAATATGACTAACACTCTGCGAAAACTGTTTACAGCTGCATAATGATCTACTTGTCCTTTATATCCAAAAAATAAATTTACATTAAGCCTTGTCTAATGCAACTAGTTTTGTGGAAGAAAAACTAAATGAATGGTAAAATTTATATCATAATTTTTTGTCTTCATTTTTCAAAAATAAAATTTGGAACTATAGGTTTATTCAATTCATTCATTTACGACATTCATTTTGAATTACCATTACTATCCTCATGTTGTCACAGGCAAACCTTTAGGTTTAACAAATGTATTCACTAGTTTGCTTTTCACTTCTTAGGCTTATTTCGTTTACATAACTAATGGACGACTCCTATAGCGCTATTGAGCTGAAACAGAAATGAAATAATTTGAGCATTCATAGAACTTGAAAATGCCTCGGTCAAAGCTGGTCTTGTGGTCAATGAAGCGAAGACAATGATGTCACGAAACACCCACGCTGATGACAGCGTCATTATAAACAACCACACCTTTGAGAGAGTGGCTACTTTCAAATACCTAACGGCAACCACAAATGAGCACCATGAAATAATATAGGAGGTGAAAGAAAGGATAACAACAGGCAACCGTTCCTATATGAGCCTAAAAAACCTACTAGGAGCAAAAACATCTCAAGGGGAACAAAGAAGACAATCTACACCACTATCATAAGACCAATTGGTAACCTACGCTAGTGAGACTTGGTCCCTTACCATAAAATCAGAGACCCTGTACAAAAATCTTCAGGAAATTATATGGCCAATGATGAGACCCACCCAAAGTCGCAGCGATAAAAAAAAGGAAGACTGCGATGGAAAAGACATATTGAATGGATGCCAGATTGAAGAGCAGCAAAAGTGATATACAGGCAGAAACCAAGGGGCATGCGACTCACCGGTCGTCCTAGGCTGAGATGGATCGACGATGTAGAGAAGGAATTACACCAGGTTTTGGGTGGGGAGTGGGGGTGTTCGCGCATGGGGGAGAAAGCCATGGATCGTTCTTAATGGAAGGATATAGTGGAGCAGGTCAGGGCCCTACACGGGCTTTAGTACCACTGATGATCATGATATTAGGAAAGCTGTTAATATCGCACAGACTAAAAATCATTAAATTAACGCATATGAAGAAAAATGTTGTAAAATCAAAAAAATTGTTGGATGAAACATCTCACCCTTTTCATACCTAAGATAATATAAACATTCTTTTGTTCCCCAGTCTGTACGATTTACCCACGCAAAACGCCCCCCCCCCCCCCCCCACCCCCACCCTAACTGAGGTTACCAAATCTAAATGATCATTAAATAAATAAAGTTATTTTTGTCACTACAAGAGTTCATTGATGGCTGATTTCTACGCTAGAGAAATACTTTAGAAGTCTTGTGTTTAAATTGTTATAATGGTAATGTGTTGTCTTGCTTAAAATTATGTATTAATTTATCCACTGACAATTATTGTGTATACTCTAATAAAAAACATTTACATTTATTTTGGATGAAGAGAGAATCGTATCTCCTGTCATACAACCAAAACATGCCTCTTGTCATACAACTAAAAACATGACTCCTGCTATTTCTTCTGTTTGATTATGTAAATTAAAAATGAACGTTTATCCCAACAGCCATTCCTGGCAGGCCAATACACTGTTTCCTGGCAGGCCAATACACTGTTTCCTGGCAGGCCAATACACTGTTTCCTGGCAGGCCAATACACTGTTTCCTGGCAGGCCAATACACTGTTTTCTCACCGGCTAATCGTTGCTAACTGTTATTCCTTTGTCAAAAAGTCAGTTTAAGAAACCAAAAATATTGGCATATATTTTTTCCTCCTCAAACTTCATAATGAGACGACGCTCTGCAAAACCTATGAAAGGATACATTGAACGTCTACCTCAGAGAACATTTTACCCCACGAGAGATTCTCCACGACAGAGGAGACGATTAAATGACAACCAACATTAAATTGCTACTGGAAATAATTATTAACACTGATTTTTAAGAAAAAAAAATAACAACCAACTAAAAAACCATATTTCAGGGCTCATATTTGATGTTTTGGTGTTCACTTTCTTGAGGTGACTCAGGCAGTGTAGAATTAATTTTTAACGTCTCTTTGATTACGATTTGATGCCTTCCTTTACGCCATTGCCTCAAAAAACCTCACTCTAAGCAAGCTTCGCCCAAAGAGAGTAAAATGGAAGCTCAACACGATGAATCTTGTTTTCAGGACAATGCGAATTCAAACTCCAAACCGAAGGATTTACCGATCAACCCGAAACGTTATTTCAGTCCAGCACCCGATGAAATGGCGACTCACTCCAACCCGTGCGCAGAGACACCCAGAATCATTCACCCAAACACTTTCGCGGCTGAAACAGGAGAGTTGGCGTCAACGCAAAGGCACGTGACGGGAACAGGAATTCACGTTGTTGACATCGGCCACAATTCCGCAGATCAGTCTGCGCACCACAGACATGTTTTAAAAGGCGGAAGTGTGCATGCCGGCGCTCAAACCGGCGTCACACGGAAGCACCAACAACGGGTGGAGTATTTCGTCGATGGTCGTTCTGACGAGGTCAACTTCAGGTCCGCAAAGCCTGGGACGGACTGTGTGCGCACAGACGTGTCCGGTTTCAATTGGCGCTGGCTGTGTGTGGTCCTCGCTCTAACGGCGGCCCTCGTGCACACACACGTGCGCGTGAGTCGTCTCGAAAGCGTGGTGGATAAGCTTGGGATACTAACTGATGGATGCAAGCATGAGGTAAATACGACATAAACAATTTAACTACTGATTATTAAGTAGGTGTTTGCATTATAATTATTTTGTTGAGGAACAATTGAATTTTTAAAAAAATATATGATAAATAAATTTTTAAAAAATTATTGAATGTGTAAGACGGATGTAACAGAGGCAACTTTCATATAAGACGGATGTAACAGAGGCAACTTTCATTTTTTTTTAACAATCAAATTATCAAAGCACACAGTCAAACTATCCTTCTTGATATTTTAAGAAAACTTTTTGTTTCTTCTTCTGGTGCATTTACCTCTGTTCTGGGCTATTTGATTGAGCTCATGCTCTCAATATTCCATCTCAGTGTAGTTGGTGGTCTTTCTTCTTGACCAGTTACCCTGTAGATTTCATGACATATACGGTCACATATTGTTTTGTTTCTTTAGTGCCTGAAGGTCTATGTCCATTTTCTAGACGGTATTTATTATTCATAGGCCTCACCGTATGCTCGTCCATTTGATTTCATATGAGATCGTTTCAAACCATTTTATTTTACACCTAACACAAGCATCTGTATATATAATATATATATGTAGAGAGAGATAGATGGATGGATGGATGGTTGGCAAGCTAGCTGGCTGGCTGACTGGCTGGATTGATGGATGTATGGTTGGATGAATGGATGGATAGATTGCTGCCTGACTGGTTTGCTGGGTGGATAGATGGACGGTTGGATAGATGGGTGTATGGGTGGATGGTTGGTTTGATGGGTGAATGGGTGGCTGAATGGATGGATGGGTATATAGATTAAAAATCAGCTTTCAAATCGTGGGCTTGTATTTGTTAACGATCCATGTTTCAAATTTCCAGAGAAGAAAAGTTTGAGATTAGAATGAAATATGTTTTAAGTTTGTATCTATAATTATCTCATTCCATTTTCCATACCATAAGCCACAAGAAAAGCAATATGGATGGAATGATTTCGTTAATTCGTTATTTTTGCACAAAACAAAGCCGCCCTCCGTGGGAAAAACCCCGAACATTTCTTACCAACAATGCATTATTGAACAACGGTATGAATTCACAAAAAATAATAACACAATATAATAATAATATGTTTCGTTTTTTTTTTTTTTGTGATTCACATACAGACGCTTGATGTCCAAAGTGGACGCAGCGTAAACAGGCCCAAAGAGAGTAGAGAAGCTTGGCCAAGTCCAGGTGCAACTCCACGGGGTCTATTTCACATTTCTGACAAAGACATTCCAAACAAGGATGCCATTGGCCCCAGAGGTTATTCCAACACGGCCAGGAGTACTGTGACTGGGTCTCGAAAGAATGCTATGGGGGAGATTATTAATGGAAACAAGGATTCTGAAATAAAAAACCAGCAATATGTATCGCGGCATAGACTTCCACATTTGGGAATTTCAAACGCTTCAACAAAATTGCAATTTTTACACGGAATTCTCGAACAAAATATGAACAAAACGGACAGTGTTGAAGTCGCGAAGACACACATCAACTCTGAACACAGTGCTGAAACTCCACAAGTCGCTTTGACAAATCTGCAGCAGAAATTCGGAGGACAGGGTGAAAGGCTATATGCTCGCAAGAAACGGTCAGCAAAGCCTCTTAAACAGAATGTCAGAGAAAAATTCGATCAGTATTGCCAGGATAATTGGAATCCTGGACGTAGTGAGTAGTCCCTAAAATGTATCTCCTTGTTGTTTGTAGGCGTAAGGCCATAGCCAACACGTAAAGAACTCACACCACAGATATCATTGACCTTGAGCACACGTTACAGGAGGACCTCATTGCAGGAAGGGGTTCCGTTCTTGACGTAATTAGAAATCCACCGTAATTTGCTACCGGCGCGTAAAACAAGTGTATATATAATGTAAATGTGTATATGAACAGGTATGTAGTAAAATAGATATATGTACATGCATCAAATGTAAGATGTTGGAACATATTTAAAAACATATCATCTATGGCAGCTATCCCTTTTTCTAAGATATTCTTAGATGCTAGGCGCATTTTCCAAATTTACTCTTAAGCTTATTGGTATATGAAGCTGGATTTGATCTTCTATCCAGATCATCAAAAGTTTCTCCATTTCTGTTAAAAAGAGGGCTACAACAGGATCGCCAGAACATATCGAATCGAACAATTTAAAACGAGATCACCCGTACCATTAATCCCCCCCCCCGTACCGCCCTTTGTTTTGAGAGCTCTTTCTGGGATCCTTCACTCCACTCCCTAAACTCTGTACAAACCATAACCCTCACACCTTGGGCCTCACTCTCAAAACCCATCTACCCTAACTTAAACCCCTCCCTCATGACGTCAACGCAATCCTCTGTAACGTCAACCCCATCCTCCCTAACTACCCCACCCTCCCTAACGTAAACCCCAACCCCCCCTAACGTCAACCCCAACCCCCCCCCCCTCATTAACGCCAACCTTATCCCTCTGAACGTCAACAAATCAAGTATAGTAAAGATTCTCTTCCCAAAGATCGTGCAAGTATTTTTATATGTGGTCATACAGACGAACCGACAAACAGAACCGCCAAACTACATAACCTAAACAATTCCTAACACACATTTATTGTGCAAAATGAATACATTAAATTTACTTACCCTTTTCTGACTTCTTTTTCATAACGAACGCCCTACAGATAAAGATAAATATGTAAGTAATGCACTGTACTGTTCGGTGTAGTATTATCTTAAGTCAATACACACACACACACATTAAATTGTTCGCTTCGTGGGCTTATGAAAACATTTCTGAACGCAAGCTTTTTATGTGTGTACTCTCAGTCTAGGCGGGGGACATTGAAGCAGTTGTGTTACGTATGGCACTAGGGATTGTTATGTAACGATGCTAAGTAGTGGCATAATCAAGTCAAAAATAAATGTATTCGCCGAGACCTTAAAGAAAGTCTAAACTCTACGGATAAGAAATATCACTTGTTCAGCAAACAGAAGTTGTATACGACTGAGGATATTTTTCCCCCATGGAAGCGGTCGGGGAGGGGGGGGGGTAGTTTGTTAGCTTGAGATATCTCTTAAATAAAATACAACACACCTTTAAACCTTAGGGTGGTTTAGAACACCTGCTGGTTGATTGTGACCCCTTCTTTGCCCACCTTGCCGGTCACAGAAGATAGGTCCGTAGAACCACTTAGCTAAAGAAAACGTTCCAAGGGCAGCGAAAAAATCCACACTTGCAAGTTCTTCGAATGACGCACAGAACACCATGATTATTACCTATTCAGTTTGACTATTTTTGTCTAATTTTGCTTTTGTTGTGTCCTTGTCAGTTATCGTCGGCTCAGTTTGTAGCAGAGTTTTACAAGACGTACGATTTCAAGAAGGATTTTATGGACCGAGGTAAAGGTATGATATTATAAAAGCACATGGGGGGGGGTGGTGTGGTTCTAATAGAGCACACGTCACGTTTTCTTCTTTATACAACTGTGCAACACGATGGCGAGTTGAATTCATTTTCAAAAATAAGGCACGTCTTGACCGTTGGCCATTATTGTTGACTAGTTGATCGGGCAGCATGAGAAAGAGAAGAAGAAGAAAACAGAGCGTCACGTGGCATATCAAGCTATTTTTAGAAACATTTATCGTTTGAATTTTTAAAAATTATTTTTTTTTTTAATGATTTAAACTTTAAAAACATGAAAAGTCCATTTAAAAGAAAATTAATATGGTTCTTATTAAAAGAAACGGGTTTGAATGCGAGCGCTTTATAATTTTAGGAACGATATTAGGATTGTGTAGTGTGGGGGGGGGGGCGGACGCCTCAAGTCGAAAGTGTCAAGAAATTTTGCTTTGTAGACTTAAAGTCTAAAATTATTACCCATTTACCAAGCACATAGCGCTAAAGCCGGAAAAAAATGCTGAATTAGTTTAAGTGTTGAAAACACGTCTTCTTTAAGAGGAAAAGATGAGGAAATAGCTTTTTGAGTCTAATTGTTTTAAAATTGGGGGAACAACACAGAGCCGTTCTTAGGAGTTTGGGAGGCCCTAAGCATGGGGGCCCCGGAAGGCGGGGGTCCGGGGTTGGAACTGCCTCGAGCTGAGGAGAAAACACGAACCACCACTGCGGCACCTCCATTCTGCCTTCATCAATGTTTCCTCTTTCCCATTCCCACGGCCAAGCCCCCGATTTCCTGTCTGCCACCCCCAAAGCCCCCCCCCCCCCTCTGGTGTTTCCCTTCCCCTGCCTCCGAATTCAACTCAGAATGATAAATTTCAGGATGAGGAAGGTAACGTGAGGGACACAGACAGCTGCAGTGCCAGTTTTAAAAAAAAACGGGGGATCGAGGGTGCCTCATGGGGGCCTCCTCACGTTCGTGGCCCTACGCGGATGCGTAGTCAGCGTATGCCTAAGAACGGGCCTGAGCTACATATGTAACCTAACTAAAAAACTTGCAATAGAAATTAATTACGGTTTTACAACAACCTTAATAAAATGATGATAACATGATGATAATATGATGATAATTTGACGATAATATGAATTGATGGGTAAATAGTCTTATATTCTAAACATAAAGCTATATTGAATTGACTGAGATTTTCTAACACAGAATTAATTTATTTTTTTTAAAAATCATTTCTGATTGTCTGAAGGAGGCATCTAGCCGGTACGTCCTTTTGATCGTCCTATCTTTCATTTCAAGCCTTTGCATGTCTTACCCACTGTTTATTTCACACGGTCTAAACGCAGTCCCTCAGGCGTTATCCTTGATTGCTTTAACAGGATTTGAGTGTTTCCATGACGACAAATGGCCCACCAAGCCAAAAGTGTGTAGAGAGGCGACTGTGGAATATCCAGACGAAGGTAGGGGGCAGAATAATCAATCAACCAATAGATCGTGGGGCCCTTAATCTATAGAAGAAGAAGAAAGTAAATAGTGTCGCTTCTGGTGGATTTGTCAGCTAATAAGTGTTGAGCTTGTCATCATCACCATCATCACCATCATCATCACCATCATCATTATCACCATCATTATCACCATCATCATCATGATTTGGCTTGGGGGATTGAAAATATTTTTTTTTAAATTGAAACATAATTTAAAATAATATGAAGGCAAAGTTAAAATTTTTTTTTTGTGTTTTTTTTTTTTTTTTTTTTTTTTTTTTTGGGGGGGGTGGGGTTTGTGTTTTTTTTTGTTTTTTTGTTAGCATTACATTTATCAAACTTGATTTTTTTATAAGAAATGCAATTCTGAAAGTTTGTATAATACAAAAATGTAATTAATTAAATATTATTTTCTCCTATCCATTTTTCATAATAACAATGTTCGCTATTTTTTTTCCTCATTAAAACATTGATTTTTATAATGAAGCTACATTAAACTAATGTAACGCGAAAATAAAATTGAGCCAGTATCGATGACAGCTATAATTACAAATCATGACTACAAAGCCATAATCCGACGATAAACAATATCCGAATATGGCAAATGTTTCTGAGATAGTCGCATTAAGCTTTAAGTCATTTTACTCTTAGCGATTCCCAGCCAAGTCATTTTAAGCTTTAAGTCATTTTTACTCTTAGTGATTCCCAGCCAAGTCATATTAAGCGTTAAAGTCATTTTACTCTAAGCGATTCCCAGCCAGGTCATATTAAGCTTTTGAGTCATTTTTACTCTTTGCGATCCCCAGACAAGTGATATTAAGCTTTAAAGTCATTTTACTCTAAGCGATTCCCAGCCAAGTCATATTAAACTTTAAGTCATTTTTACTCCTAGCGTCTCCCAGCCAAGTCATATTAAGCTTTTAGTCATTTTACTCTTAGCGATTCCCAGCCAAGTCATATTAAGCTTTAAAATCATTTTTATTCTTAGCGTCTCCCAGCCAAGTCATATAAAGCTTTTAAGTCATTTTACAGACAGATGTCCCCGGGCGCAAGCTAGTTAGGGGCGCCAAAATGTGCTTTGATATTATATTATTGGTAAAAAAAAAATGTGTTTGAGAGTTGAAAAAAAGAAAAGGGGTGCTTAAAATGGATCTTGTCCCCGGGTGCGAATCTTGTCCCCGGGCGCCAAACACCCTCCCTACGCCTCTGCCAAGATGTATTTTTTCGCATTTAGCTGAAAGAATTTTAGGACTAAATTTCACTACTGATATGTGGAAGCTAATTTTAGCCAATATTTTAATACTAAATTTCATTCCTGATATGGGAATTCACATTTAGCCAATATAATTTTAAGACTAAATTACACTCCTGATATGAGACGTTACATTCAGCCAATATGATTTTAAGACTAAATTCCACTCCTGATATAAGACGTAACATACAGCCAGTATTATGTGTTAATTCCTCACTTAAGACTCCCCGGTGGCGATGTATCGTATCCATGACAACGATGGCAGCACCAATGAAACAGACACAACCAAATCCGGTCACCACAAGAGGAGACACGGGCGAGACCTCATCTGTTTAACAGACGAGAAGCATGGCGTGTTCACCGTGAGAGAGCCTGGCGTCTACTTGGTGCATCTGAATGTGAGTTAAAGTGGATTAAAACTTGAAGAGTCTGATGGAAGAGTCGAGTTTATAGTTTGTGCCATTGAATGTGAGAAGAAGACGAAAAACAAGTAGAAAGATTATTGTGGTTACAAATGGCGCAGGAAGAAGGTTAATGTTGCGGTCCCTCATGGGCGGAAAATACTTATCTTTCAACAGAGGTGCATTATTTTCGGCCCATTCGGCCATCTGCTGAGGTTTTTTTTTTCTGACCTTGAAATGGGAGTGGCTGAATTCTTGGCCCATCAAGGTGACCCCAACCCCCCCCCCCCCAACTTGCTATGCCATTGGTGGTGACAGACGGGACAACGGAAACATACGTTTCTTGCTAATTGAGTTGCAGTCTCTCTCTGGGCTATGACAGCGGCAAGCCATTAGAGTTGGGGGCTAAAGAGCCATCATACCGAGATGATGCGGCTGTGTCTGTCCATTGCGGTGATGCTTGTTTTAGTTTGTGGAAGTTGAAGATAGAATTTAATAAGTCCTACCATGCGACTCGACCCCTCCCCCCTCCCACCAACCCACATTTTTTCCCCCTCGGCAACCATTTTAACATCTCCCGAAACAAGTATGAACACGTAGCTGTAGAAATGCACAAGCCAGTCCACAGTCGTGTCGGGTAATATTGCAAGAAATTGATGGAAGTGGTAATTTTGTTGTTGTTGTTGCTGTTTTTGTTGTTTTTGAGCTTGTCAAAACTACAGCTGTATTTAAGAATTTGTTAGTGTAACATCTTGGCGTTTAGACTATGTTTTAATAGGCTCGGACAATATCAGATTTTGAACGAGAGTACAAGAACGTATGAAGATGTCGCAAGCCATGTGTCTTGAGAGAGAGGGGGGGGGGAGAAGCTCTCATGTTCTTTCATACTTCTACAGCGTTTGGTACACAAAACTCTCACGGGGGAGAGAGAGGGGGGAGAGAGAGAGCGAGAGTACAAGAAAGTAGGAAGATAGCGCAAACCATGTGTCTTGAGAGAGAGAGAGAGGGGGGGAGAGAGAAGGAGAGAGAGAGAGAGAGATTGAGAGAGACAATTAATTGTTTTCAAGGAAATTATCTTCATCTTTTGCCCAAGGACATAATTATTGTTATTTGAGCACCCAATGATGTGTCATAATTATTCTCTTATTCCATTGTATCGGATGAGCTATGATTTCACGTTCTAATAGTTCATGTGATGCTGTGAGTGATTTAAAGAAAGTGACGTGTCCAAAAACAGAATTCGTTACTTCATTTTGTGATTTAGCCAGGAGCATCAAAAGACGGAACATCCCTATAATTATGAGACCGTTACATTGGTGTCAGAAGAGGTGGACATTTCAATGTAGAAACAATTACAGCTAGCTACAGAGCCTTCTTGAATTAAACTGAAGTGGGCATTTACAGAGAAATAGTTGGCTAGAACATATTTGTGTGTGAATGTGTAGTTGTGATTTGGCAGCGATCCTCTTCATCAAAAAAGTATAGCCTCAAAACAATTTGCCCTTTTATGAGTAGCTTCCGCGGCTTCTCCTGGAATGGCAAGTCTCAGCTGCAGCTCTCGCAGCAGAACCTTGACTTCTCGGATCACTATGGCGGTCGGTGTTGCTACCTTTTGCTGTTACACCGTCCCACATTCTACTTACGCCTCAACAGTTCAAGTCTTTTTTCTTCTCTACTTCTCTGTAACAACGGTTCGAATCATTTTTCTTCTTCTCTAGACCATAAACTCCTATTTGTTATCATAATCTTAAGCTCGAAACCCAATACAATTTTAAAGAGAAATCCACATGCATAAAATGTGATATGTGTCTTCTCTCTCTCTCACTCTCTCTCTCTCTCTCTCTCCGCAACAGATCACGGTGGTGGACGAGAGTCACAATCACAGTCTCGCCATCTTCCTTAACGGGCAGGCTGTCCTGGCGTGTCCCAAGGGTGGCTTCAGATGTCCCCACAGCAACGAGCCCAGGTCCCACAAGTACAGGATATGTAACATTGATGGTGAGTTTCTAAAGAGAGAGGAACTATTATCCATTCACACTATAACCCAGAGATTCTTAACCAGGATTGCAGGGGGCTGCAGTTTAACCTAGAAAAGCAGGTTTATTTGCATTTTAGTGGCATTTTTTATCGTCGACCCTCGTTTATCGCGATTAATCAGCGCCAGGCTCTACCGCGATAAGTGAATTTCCGCGAAGTAGGATTCTTCATTTATTAATCGAATATTTTCGTAGTTAGAGCATAGCAAACCTGTTCACTGTGCTCTAAATAAGCTTAAAAAAACCACTATTAGACAATCTGGGGATGCTCGAATACATAGATAGGCCTACAGTCCTACTGACGGTAATTTTAATTGTAATACAGGGGTGTATAATTGATGTAGACAAACGAATATATGTTGCATTTGAACAAAGAAAACGTCGAAAGTGTAAGCGCGAAGTGGCGAGGGACGACTGTATATATATATTAAGTATGAGCTATCCAGGTCATTGGTGCACTGTCCGGGCAATCCTTTAGAATACTTACAAATCGTCTTCCCCCAGGTGTCCTCGAGATGAACAAAGGCGACACACTGCAGGTTCGAACCCTAGAGCCCAAAACTATGATTCGACTGGAGGGCCACAGAAAGTCACAGCTCAGGTTCATCCTGCTTCACCCCATGGGCAAGGAAGCCAAGAAGGGCAAGAAGAGGAAACCGGAAGGCTAAAATGTGAAGCAAGTCGCCATTTGGAAAACTGAAGCTTGAAAATGTTGCCGAAAATAATTTTTCAAAAAGGAGAAAAAGGAAATTTCGAAGAAAAAAACAACTATTTTCTCGAGCGGCTGATTATCCCGTGTTGCGATTATCCAGTTTTGTGATTCTTCATAGGGTGATTATCCATGGTGCGATTATCCAGTGGTGTGGCCAACAAGTTGTTCGATTTTAATTGTTTTACTTTTTTTAAGCGTAGGTTACTGTTCTTGATTCGGCTCTTTGAAATTAAGATGATTTGTGTATGAGTATGTTATGTCCAGACTCTATATATGAGTTGTATATGAGTGTTTTATGTCCAGACTCTAGAGATGAGCCATTTCATGACATTTAAGTCTTAGTAACTGATATCTGAAACAGTATTAACTATGGTTTTAATATCATTACTTCTGGAAAGTCATTAAAAAAGTCTTACCGAAGTAGGATTAAAATTTTATATATTATAATACTTACACCTTTTAGTAGTTAAAATACTTTTCATGATATACCTTTCAAAGAACATCGTAAGTCTAAATAAGGCGAGGCAATTTAAAATAAGCATTACATGGCATTCGACATGCAGCTATGGCCAAACAAACATATGATGTTATGTCGTCAGGCAGCTATGGCCTACCAAATCTTTGCTACGAGTCAGTCAGCTACGGCCTACCAAATTTTTGATAAGAGTCCTTCAGCTACGGCCCTGCAAAGCTGTGTTATATGGTGAGGCAGTTACGGCCCAATAAAAACTGTGTACTTTGTTAAGCTACGCAAAGCACATACTAAGATTCCGCTATATGTGTCAGCGTAGTGTACAAATGTATATATTTATGTATAGTAACATATAAACTTATTTTAATTTCCTATTTCAATGATTTAAAAATGTGAAGAAAATATCTCTCAAAATGTTTGAGACCTAATTGAATTGAAATCTGCCGTGTTTCCATTGTAAGTGTGTTTTAATAGAGTAGACATATTTATTCATTTATTCTTGAAACAGGTAAGTTGCTTTATTTTTATATATATATATATATATATATATATACATATATATAGATATTGAATGAGGATAGATAAACAGGAAATGACATTGTAAATAAATTGACGCGCCAAAGTTACAGTATAGCAAGGAGAATTTACTTTGTATTCCCTGTTTACGCTCTTACTATATCTTGAACGTCTACCAATTTTGTTAGAACAATTTTATTGCAATATTTTTATTGTTAAAACAAATATTTTTGCACACTTGTATGCACATAATTATACCAATAATTTTAGAACTAGTTAAGTGTGTTATAGTTACGTACCACTATAATTTGCAGAGAATTTATTTAATCGCTAATTTTGCTTTATGGCTCTTGCCAAACAGTACATAACAAAGGACGATACCATTAATTAAATACAGCAATGAAGAGGGATACCCGCACTAGGGCTAATTACACATACTAATTTATTAAGTTAACTTTACAATCGAAAAATCAAATAGAATTAAATTAAGGCTATTGAATTACAGTACAGCAATGAAATTTTACCGGTACAATTTTGGAAGGTGCACACACACTTACACAGTAAATATAATGTACAATATCTGCGACCGGTGCAGTATGACAGTCTGTTAGTCTCGCATTCGACTCGTATCGAAATAACCCTCTCTGTCTCTCTCTCTTTGTCTCGCAGACTCTCTCTCTCTCTCTCTGTCTCTCTCTCTCTCTCTCTCTCCCTCTCTCTCTCTCTGTCTCTTTCTCTGTCGATCGGCTTATTTATAGTCTTTCACAGAGGCTTTTCCAGAAAACGGATTACGCACTGCATCTGTACCGCATCACGTCTCGTAAGTTCTAAAGCATTCGACCAGTGACTATGTTAACATGTAGTCAAGGTCAATGGAGACAATTTATAATCAATCCTTATTTTGCTTTGAAATGCACTTGTAATTTTCTTAATTTGGCGTAGTTTTAAGTAGCAGCCACACTCGTTAGATTTTCTAAATATCCCCCCCCCTCCACTTTTGTCGACTTGGTGTTGGTCATAACAGAGAATCATGGCCGGCGCTAGGAGGGTGCGGGGCCTTGGGCAAATTGACATTTGCGTGGCCGTTGATGTTATATATTCCGCCGACACGTTATAGTCGTACTGGGGGACTTGCTGGTCATAATTGGACGCGTCGTAACGGATATTCCACGATAATCCTCTTTCGTCTGCTTAACATGCGCCCAGAGGTCTTCCCGAGATTCATCTCGAATGGATGGTATGGGAGCCAGTCTGACCTTCAGGCCATTTGACTATCTAATAACTCCGAACATTGCGTTGACTGGATTAGGAACTATTAGTAGGCTTGGGTATAGTTTAAATATACTGCGGCAACGCGCGGGGACCCTGCAAACGCGGGGACTTGGGAGGTTGCCCACTTCGCCATCCTCCTAGCGCCGGCCCTGAGAGGATACAGGTTCGCTGACATAAGGGTGCTTCTAAAAACATCAGAAGAAACATGACATCATCCAGTTTTCATTTGGTCACATATTCTTATGTTTTTGTACACAAATAATACTTTAAACATTTCTCTCCAACTATTTCTCACAATTATTCCACCGACTGATTTGCACTGATAACAAACAAAACACAGCTTTGATTCCTGATTTCTATTCATTGAACGTCTCATTTTCTGATCTCTGAATACCAGGTACTTGTCCCCCAACGCCACAACAATACAGTTTGGACACGCACTCTCCCATACCCGACAAGACTACCTTTTAAAAAAACAAACAACCAAGGTACCATAAATTGTTCTCACTGCACACCGTAATCATTTGGGACACGTTTAGTGCCCTAGCTCCCATCTAGGTCACTCTGACCCGAAGACTCTCCTGTCCTATTTCTATCATCCTACAAATCACAGTCGTTAACACGCCATGTTCACCCCTCTGATTCATCCAACCTTTGTCCCGATTGGTGAGGCGGTCGACATTAACCCATCTCTTCCATCCAACGTGTGTCCCGATTGGTGAGGCGGTCGACCTTCACCCATCTCTTTCATCCAACGTTTGTCCCCATTGGTGAGGCGGTCGACATTTTTTTACGATGTCCGAAAACAGGCGCACGCATCAAGCTGCTTGTGGTTGCACCATTCATCTTTCCCAACGCTGCCGTTAACAATCATACCAGATACCCAGTAAAGCGTACCCTGAACAAGCAAAAGAAAAAAAAAGGAGAAGATCGTATTTCGATTTTATGTCAACCCATTACCCATGTTACGAAATGGTTGTTCTTGCTTAAAGTAAAGGATGTCAAGCCATCACAGTCCTTAGCGTTTTGACCTCCCCCCCCCAGCCCCCATTTTTTTTTATGCTGTACCTTCTCGTATCTCTCACACCATTTCCCAACAAAACGGTATCAAAGAATGACGCTGGAAAATACTTTCAACGTTATCTGGGTTTTTTTTTCCTTTTTTTTTTTTCTTCTTCTTTTTTCTTTCTTTTCTCTTTACGCACATTCAATAAACTTCTCCAAGTTCTGGCGGGCCATTTAAAATCAGTTCGCGGGCCGAATACGTCCTGCGTGTTGGACATCAGTTGTATGAATGCGTCCTGCGCATTGGACATCAGTTGTATATCAGCTACAATTCCATAGGTGTTTTGAACACAAGAAGAAGGCGTTCTTGAAAAACTCAGACATGACTTTTTGAGCGCTTTGACTGTTGCGGAAGGCTGGATACTTACTCCCATTTTTTTATGATATCTATGAATTGAAGGATACAATAATTGCATCCTTGTATAATCACTATTGGATTGTATGTATTAGTTTTATGTACAATATTGACTTGTGATATATTTTAACGTTAGATAGTCTTATTATATTTTTTTTCATATTGTAATTGTCTGCTAATAAAGAAAAATAATATATAAACAAAATGATCTTCTCTTTTAAGTAATGTATCTCATTTACTTTACTTCCAACATTGGTTTTTTTTTTGTGTTATTTGTTTTTTAATTTACTTAAATTGAATCATATTTACAATCGTTATTTTATTTATTTCGTTTAACATAATTCAATAAATTGTAAAGCAATTAAAATATCATTCAACAATTAAATCTTAATAAATTATTCTCCAGAAATTTTCTTAATCAATTCAAATGATCTTTGTAGAATCAGATAAGGGCATTTTTTTATTGTGACATAACAATCTGGCCGTTGAAACCAACCACGCGGCAATCCAGGTAAATATGTGCTAATTATGCTCGAGGTATGAGGCCTTTTCTTCAACTTCATAACATCCGCCTTTTTTTCCGGGAATACAACAAGGAAGGCTAACTGTTTCCGATAAATCACACGGGACACAGCAACGTGATTGGGACACACCTATCTCTCAGTTCAATCAAGCGATGCACGGGTACCTCCATTAGATACGACATCTCACTTCTATTAGACACGACGTGATTAGCGCACACCAATCTCACAGCTCAATCAAGCAATGGGTACCTCCATTAGACATTACGTCTCGCAAAACAAAGATCTGTGATAGTAAGGTCATACCGTCATATTGAACTCTGTTCAAAACTTGCCCAGTTGTTGTACCCGTACCTTAAAGGCCCTGTCAAAGGCCCGACACCGAGGTCCTCGCTAGAGCGAACCTACCTAGTATCTTCACCACTCTGATGCAGTCTCAGCTCCGTTGGATGGGACACGTAGCCCGTATGGCAGACCACCGGCTCCCGAAACAAATATTCTTTGGAGAACTCACGATAGGCAAGCGCTCCCAAGGAGGCCAAAGAAAGCGTTACAAAGACTCACTGAAAGTGGCACTAAAGGCCTTCAGCATAAACACTACTCAATGG